CCCACCTTCCCATTGCCCCTGCCCCTGGTACCAGACCCCCGCACCTTCCCATCTCCCTTCCCCTGAGTACCAGACCCCCGCTCAATTTCTCATCTCCCCTCCCCTGGGTACCAGACTCCCCCTCACCTTCCTCTCTCCCCTCCCCCCCTTGGTTCCTTCCCCCAACTCACCTGGGTGATGCTGTCACGCATGGTGGGAGAGCGGCCGCGCCGCGTGGTGGTGGTGGCCATGGTGGTGGTGGTCTCCATGATGGTGGTGGACATGTCGGCCAGCAGGGTGGTGGCAGTGGTCTCGGTGGTCATGACGGAGGGCACCTCACCCACCAACCGGAGGTTCCCCTCCACCCACACATTGGGGTCGCTCTCGGCTGCCAGGGACAGCACCTTGAGCCCGTTGTAGTAGAGCCCTGAGATCTGGCCCTGGAAGGGGCGGCCCTGATCCCGGCCTCCGATCTTGATGGCGGCCTGGCTGTTAAATATTGTCAGCTGTCGACCTGCCAAGACGGGGTGCAGGGGAGTAAGGGTGGGGAAGGGAGAAAGAGGAGGGGTGAAGCCCATGGGGGGGAAGGAGGGATGGAGTCGCAGGGTGGGGGTGGCAGGGGAGGGAAGAATAAACAGAGAAAGAAAGATCCTGAGTGAATGGTGGGCCAGGAGAGAGGCAGAGCTCAGCCAGCCAGGGGCTGCAGAAAGCAGCGGTCCCCATGACAGCCCCCCAGCCACTGCCCTGACTGGAGGACACAGCGACACCCCCGCCCCAAGTTCTCATTTCCTCCTCCCACTTCACTCCCTGCCAGCCACCAACCTCTGCACTGGCTTCTAACGCACCTGCACATGGCTTCGGGCTGTCACACACCCCTCCCTCTACCCCCAACCACCCATCTTCTTCCATCCCCTCCATCCAACCCCCTCCTTCCCCAACCACACCCCCTTCTTCCATCCCCACCACCCCCTTCCATGCAATTCCCTCCTTCCCTCCATCCCCAACCACACCCGCTTCTTCCATGCCCTCCAACCCCTCCACCCCCTCCCTCCACTCCTTTCCTTCCATCCATCCAACCCCCGCCTTCCCCCCACCCCTACCACACACCCCTTCTTCCATCCCCTCCATCCATCCATCCCCTCCTTCCATCCCACCTCCATCTGCCCAACTACCCCTCCCATCTATCCACCCCCAATCACCACCTCCCTCCCTCCATCCCCCATTGATCCACCCCCCAACCTATCCCACATTCCTCCCACCATTATCCCTCCACACCCTCCATGTATCCATCCCCAGACACATCCTTCCATCCCCCAACCCAATCCCCCCACCTCTCCATCCACACCTCCCCGCCCCTCCATCTGCCCCCACATCCCTCCATCTCCCACACTTCCACCCATCCAACATCCCTGAACACCTCTCCGTCTATCCCCCCACACCCTACATCTATCTACCCCATTCCTCCATCTATCCACCTCCTCCATCCCTACTCCTGCTCCACCCATTCATCCCCATACTCACTCATCTATCTAATCTATCTATCTATCTATCTACCTTCCCTCCCAAACTGCCCCCCTTTCCCTTCCAGACCCTTGGGACCCATTTCTGCATTCACAGCCCCTGCATGGAACAGAGACAGTGAGTGGAGGAGGAGCGAGAGACGTGCAGGCACAGAGAGGCGCAGGGCACAACCCAGACATTTGAATTGTTAGATCCCCTCTGGCTGATAATGGGATATGGGGCCTTTCCCCTCTAGGGGGTGCCAGCTCCAATCTGGCCCAACTGTAGGAGATGGAAGGGTGGAATGACTGGCTCATGGTGGCGGGGAATGGGACACGAGGCCCTTCCCCTCTCAGGGTGCTGGCTCCGGTCTGGTCTGCTAATGGGGAAGGAGTGTGTGCGGTGAAGGGGCAATATTGGGGCATGAGCTGGTTGGCCCAGGAGTTCACAGCATCAGAGCTGTGCAGCCCCTCCTCCCCACATGTCAGACAGAAGGCTGCAGTGCAGCTGCCCAGGCTGAGGGGGAAGGAGCCAGACACACCTGCCCACCTAGGAGACTGTGGGGAGGGCGTGTGTGTGGGGAGTGGCTGGAGGGTACGTGTCTATGGGGGGAGGGGCTGGCAAGGGGTATGTGTCCATGGGGGGAGGTGTGTGGGGGGAGTGGCTGGAGAGGGGTACATGTCTATGGGGGGAGGGGCTGGGGAGGGGTGTGTGTGGGGAGGGGCTGGTGGGTACGTGTCTATGGGGGGAGGGACTGTAAGATGTGTGTGGGGAGTGGCTGGCGAGGAGTATGTGTCTATGGGGAGAGGGGCTGTGGAGGTGTGTGTGTGGGGAGGGGCTGGCGAGGGGTACGTGTCTACGGGGGAAGGACTGGTAAGATGTGTGTGGGGAGTGGCTGGGGAGGTGTACGTGTCTATGAGGGGGATGGGCTGGGGAAGTGTTCATGGGGAGGAATTGGAGGGGGGAAGGCGTCTATGGTGTAGGGGCTGGTGAGGTATGTGGGGGGAAGGGCTGGAGAGGGGTATGTATCTATTGGGGGAGCGGCTGGTGAGGGGTATTTGTCTTTGAGGGGCAGGGACTGGGGAGGTGTGTGTGGGGACGGGCTGGTGAGGAGTACATGTCTATGGGGGCCAGGTATGTGGAGAGAGGCTGGTGAAGGGTATGTGCGTATGAGGGGAGGGGCTGGAGAGGGGTGTGTGAGGAGGGACTAGAGAGGGGTACGTGTGTATGGGGGGAGGGGTTGTGGAAGTGTGCGTGGGGAGGAACTGGAGAGGGGTATGTGTCTATGGGGGAGGGGCTGGGGAGGTGGGTGTGAGGAGGGGATGGGGAGGAGTATGTGTCTATGAGGGGGAAGGGGTGGGGAAGTGTGTGGGGAGGGGCTTGTGAGGGGTACATGTCTAAAAGGGGGAGGGGCTGGTGAGCTTTGTGTGGGGAAGGACTGGAGAGGGTATGTGTCTATGGGGGGACAGGGTGAGAAGGTGTGCGTGGGGAGGAGCTGGAGAGGGGTATGTGTCTGTGGAGGAGGGGCCGGGGAGGTATGTGTGGGGAGGGGATGGGGATGGGTACGTGTGTAAGTGGGAGGGACTGGGGAGGTGTGTGTGGGGAGGGTCTGGGAAGGGATACGTGTCTATGGGGGGAGGGACTGGTGAGGTGTGCGGAGAGGGGCTGGCGAGGGGTCCATGTCTATAAGTGGGAGGGGTTGCGGAGGTGTGTGTGGGGAGTGGCTGGACAGTGGTATGTGTCTATAGGAAGAGGGGCTGCGGTAGCGCCGTATTATTGCCTAGGCCGACAAGGCCTAGGCCTAGGGCGGCAAATTTGCAGGGGCGGAAGCTCCCCTCCGCTCCCCGCCTCCCTGCTCCAGCTCACCTCCGCCTCCTCTACAAGCGCGCCGCCGCGTCCTGTTTCTCTCCCCTCCCAGCGCTTGCGCCACGAAACAACTGTTTCGCGGGGCAGGGAGGGAGGGGGGAGGAGGGGGAACGCCGTGCGCTGGGGGAAGAGGCGGGGCCGGGGGCAGGGATTTGGGGAAGGGATCCAATAGGGGAAGGGAAGGGGAGGAGTTGGGGTGGGGACTTTGGGGAGGGGGTTGGAATGAGGGCGGGAAAAGGGCGGAGTCGGGGTGGGGCCAGGGCGGCAATTATTTCCAGACCTAGAGGCGGCAAAATTATTAATCCGCCACTGGGCTGGGGAGGTGTGTGTGGGGAGGGGCTGGCGAGGGGTACGTGTCTATGAGGGGGACGGGCTGGGGGAGAACTGGAGGGGGGAAGG